TTTCAAATACCATATAGGGTTTTCTGGATCAAAGGAAACTAATGGGAAATAAATGCAGCACCTATTCAGGAAACATGATGTCTTCACGTGTTGAAGTTGTTGGAATATTTAGACTTATTTTAAGCACTAATTATATTTTGGATTTGGAACGAACCTTTTATATTCCTAGTTTTTCTAGGAATTTATTTCAGTTTCTATACTTGTATCCTGTGGATGCTCTTTCAACTTTTATGGTAGTTCTTTTAATTTAATGAAGAACTCATCTATTGTTGGAAATGATACTATGGTTGATGGTTTGTTTAAAATTCATTTAAGTGATATTATTCCTTATAGTTTAATGACTTCACGTGCTAGTACTGGTATTAAACATATAGTTATGAGTGAAAACTCTTCTTTTCTATGGCAAAAGAGATTAGGACACATCTCCATTAATAGGATTAAAAGGTTGGTAAATGCTGGAGTTCTTGAAACTCTTGACTTTACTGACTGCATTAAGGGAAAGCAGACTAACAAATCCAAGAAAGGTGCCAGGAAGAATTCTGAACTTTTAGAGATCATACACTGATACTTGTGTAGACTGCATTAAGGGAAAACAGACTAACAAATCCAAGAACGGTGCCAGGAAGAGTTCTGAACTTTTAGAGATCATACACACATATATTTGTTATCCTGACATGAGCTCTAGCAGTCAGAAATATTTCATCACTTTTATTGATGATCACTCACGATATATGTATCTCTATTTACTTTATCACAAGGATGAAACATTGGATGCTTTCAAAATATATAAAGCAGAAGTAGAGAAATAATGTCGAAAACAAATTGAGATTGCGAGATCTGATAGAGGTGGTGAATATTATGGTAGATACACTGGTACAGGACAAGCACTTGCTCTATTTGCTAAATTTCTTCAAGAGCAAGGTATTGTGGCTCAATACACCTTGCCCGACACACCATCTCAGAATGGTGTAGCATAACAGAGAAATAGAACATTAATGGATATGGTACGGAGTATGCTAAGTAACTCCAAACTTCCTCATTCTTTATGGATCGAAGCTCTTAAAACTACAGCGTATATATTAAACCGAGTTCCAACTAAGACGGTTCCCAAAACGCCATTCGAGTTATGAAAAGGTTGGAAACCAAGTTTAAGTCATTTACGCGTTTGGGGTTGCCCAGTTGAAGTTAGAGTTTATAATCCACAAGAACAGAAGTTAGATCCTAGGACTATTAGTGCATATTTTATTGGATATGCTGAAAAATCCAAAGGATATAGGTTTTATTATTCGAACCATTCCAGTAGAATTGTTGAATCAAGAAATGCCAAATTTCTTGAGAATGACGTGGTCAGTGGGAGTGATCAACTCAAAAACTTAGTCTCTGAGAAAATTGATATTTCAAATAATACTCCTACATCAAGTAAAAGATTGATTGTTCATCCAAATAAGATGAACAATGAGGAACCAATCATTCAAAGTCCATATTCTGATGAGATTGTTTTAGAAGATCATTCCGAACAACCTCCACCATAGGAGAAACAACTAGTTGTGCAGTAGTCTCAACAAGAGACTATTGATACAATATTAAAGAGATCTACTAAAACAAAGAAATCAGCAATTCCTACTGATTATGTAGTGTATATGCAAAAGTCTGACTGTGACATAGGTGTTGAAGATGACCCATACACGTTTTTACAAGCTATGGACAGTTGTAAATATGAGTTGTGGTATAATATCATGATTGACGAGATGAATTCTATGGCGGATAATAAAGTTTGGGACCTTGTTGAGTTGCCTACTAGAAAGAAACCTATTGGTTGTAAATGGGTATTTAAAATCAAAAGGGATTCATTAGACAACATTGAGAGATACAAGGCTAGGCTTGTTGCCAAGGGGTTCATGCAAAGGGAAGGGATAGATTATAAAGAAACATTTTTTTCAATTTCTAAAAAGGATTCCTTCCGCATTGTCATGGCATTAGTTGCCCATTTCGATTTATATTTACATCAAATGGATGTGAAAACAACTTTCCTCAATAAAGATTTGGAGGAAGAGGTTTATATGAAACAACCTGATGGGTTCATTTCAAGTGATGGTGAGCATTTGATTTGCAAGCTTAAGAAGTCCATTTATGGACTTAAACAAGCCTCCTGACAGTGGTATTTAAGATTTCACAATGTTATCTTTTCATTTGATTTTGTAGAGAATGTCATGGATCATTGTATATACCACAAGGTTAGTGGGAGCAAAATCATCTTTCTTGTGTTATATGTAGATGATATTCTACTTGTGACCAATGATTTAGGTTTACTGCATGAGGTGAAACAATTTCTCTCTTAACATTTTAGTATGAAGGATATGGGTGAGGCATCTTATGTCATTGGCATTAAGATTCATAGGAATAGGTCCCAACATGTTTTGAGACTATCTCAGGAAGCCTATATTAATAAAATTATTGAGAGATTTAGGATGAAGGATTGTTCACCCAGTGTTGCACCAATTGTTAAGGGTGACAGGTTCAATTTGAACCAATGTCCTACACTCGAGATTGAAAAGGAACAAATGAAAACCATTCCTTATGCTTCAACTGTTAGAAGCCTAATGTATGCTCAGGTCTGTACTAGACCTGATATTGCTTTTGCAGTTGACATTTTAGGAAGATATCAAAGTAATCCAAGTTTAGATCATTGGAGAGCTGCAATAAAGGTCATGAGGTATCTTCAAGGAACTGAAGGTTCCATGCTTACTTATAGACGGTCTAACATTTTAGAAGTTGTCGGATATTCAGACTTAGACTTCGCTAGCTGTGTTGATTCTTAGAAATCAACATCCGAATATGTTTTTATGCTAGCCGAAGGTGCTATATCTTGGAGAAGTATAAAACAATCTTTGGTTGCCACTTCTACCATGGAAGCTGAGTTTGTCTCTTTTTTTGAGGCCACTGCACAGGATATTTGGTTGAGAAGTTTCATTTCTGGGCTTGTAGTTGTTAAGTCTATCTCTAAGCCAATAAGGTTGTATTGTGACAATTCAGTTGTTGTGTTCTTTGCTAAGAACAATAAGAGTGGAAATCGAAGTAAACACATCGACATTAAGTACTTAGCAATAAAGGAGCACATTAAAGCCAAAAAAGTGCTCATTGAACACATACACACTGAGCAAATGATTGCTGATCCTCTAACAAAAGACATGTCACCAAAGACGTTCAAGGATCATGTAATTCAAATGGGATTACGTCTCGCTATGTCACTAAGAGAGGTAATACTTTCATTCTCTGAAACTTTGTAATTTAGTTTGTTTTTCTTTTCAGTTGTATACATTTTAGTTGGAGACAAACAAATATTCTCGAGGACCTGGAACAAACATTTAAGGTTTGTTCATAAAGTAATATTCCATGTTTAAACGTTTATTTATAAAGAAAAAATTGCATAATATTACATGGAAGATAATACTTGTTTAAAAAGGACTTACCGTTATGATTCATGCAATTCTTTTTTTCTAATTAAACATAAAGAATATAAAACTTCTATGTTATGGATAGTGTAATAAAAGTTTGGACCAAGTGAGAGAATGTTAGAATTTTAATTAATTAAAATTCATTGTCCTAAAATTACTATTTGGTATTTCACTTTTATATATATTATTTTATATAAAATTTAAACTGCTGAGCAGTTTTTAACAGTTATCCCCACAGCAGTTGTCTTTAATGGAAAAACTTTTACGTGTTTTAAAAGGGGAACAGTTACAAGTCTCTAATACATGCAATTATTTTGATATCCCAAAAACCATTATTCTGAGAATTGTAGTGCATTGGAAGAGTCTGTAACCTTTGAAGAATACAGCAACAACAAATTGCTATGATTGGAGGTTAGTGGTTAAATTATTTTACTTCTACAAATCTCCATGAATATATAAGCATGTGTATGAATAATGATATGAATATATACATGTTGATTATGAGTGATTTACATTATTGATTTTACAAGTTTATTTCATTTCATTCGAAATTGTATTTTTATTTTTCATGCTTAAAAAAAAAAAATTGCATTATTAATCACAAATTTAATATTAAACGATGGAAGTATTGAGTTTAGTACAGTAACATTACTGGTACTCGTGTGGAACCAAAACTTGGCAGTTCAGTTTTCGGGTCTGAGATGGTATCAGTAGCGTTGACCATAAGTCGATCGGTTTATGCGTAAGATCATGCGCAACCCAAATATATGCCCAACTACCATCATCACTACTGCGTACCCTTCTGATTTCTTCTTCTACTCAGATTTACATATTATCATGTGGGCCTCGGCGCTCCATCACATCCCATATGATTTTCCTGGGAACTGGTCCAACTCCTAGCAAAGCTAAATCTCCGAAATCAACGAAACCTTCCCCCTTAGTCTTGTCTGACGCACGTGAGCAGTGGGTCCCTCTTGACTCACAATCACATCCGCAGTTGCGTATGACCAGAATCAATATTATTAGTCTTTATGATAAAAAAAAAAAAAAATTTAAGTATGAATTACTCATTTAATTTGGAAAATTTTCTAAAAAATTGATTGAATTTACCAATATTTTTATGTAATATGATTATAGGTTGGTGGTCATAAAATCTTCCTAGAAATCAATAAAATTAATTTTTTTTAGAAAATATAAATGGTCCCAGGACTTGATAAAGACTTGTTAAGCAATAGTACTGAGTGAGTCGGCAGTGGTAACTCAGGGAAAAAACCGGTTATAAGGAAGCAACAATGCGTTGGAGAGCGAAACCACGGTTTTCTCGGGCCAGGTGGGTTTGACTGAAATTAGCCGAAAACCAAAGCCTAAACCTTGAAAAAACCGTACTTCCCCTATTGTAACGGCTGCTGCTCTTAACTCACAACAACACACATGTACTCTGTTCACAACACCTCTCATTTCTCTCTCTCTCTCTCCACTGTCTCTCTCAACTTCTTAATTAAAACCTAACAAACCTTGACTCAGCTTAGCTTAGCTTAGCTTTTCTTCATCTGGGTTTGTTCTTTAATGGCCGATAATGGCGGATTTGACGGGGACCAAGGCACCACTACCAGTTTCTCTCAGTTGTTGTTCTCTGATGATGTCGTTTTGGGTCTTGATAGGGACCACACTTTTACCAACTATTCTTCTTTTTCTTTGCCTTTTTCTTCTCATGAAAAGCCTCCCAAAATGCTTTGTTTTGGTAACTATGGAGAAAATGATCATGGTGAAATAGTTGTGTATGGTGGTGAGAGTATTACCAGAACCACTCCTCAAAAATCTGGAGTCACTTGCAGTGATTCTTCTTCTGCTTCTTCCGGCAATAACAGCAGTGCCAACGCTACTCAATATTCCAAATCTAATGTAAGTGTTTGGAATGTGTAATTTCACAAGGTTTACATTTTGGGTTGTTTAATAGTTCATTTTTGTTATTTTCTGATAGAAAAAACGAAATGGGTCTGGCAAAGAATCAGCTCAATGCTCAAGCGTTATAACCACAACGCCAGCGACAACTCAGAAAACCAGTAAAAAGACCAAAGCAGAAAATACCCCTTCATCTACCGGCCATGCAAAGGTCTTAACTCAATATACACGCAATATACGGCATTGAGTTTGTGGAAGTAATCCTCATTTTCCGATTTCTTTTGAAATAACAGGTAAGGAAAGAGAAGCTTGGAGAACGAATCACAGCATTGCAGCAGCTCGTTTCACCTTTTGGCAAGGTGAAATTCGTTTCTATTTAATTGCATGTTTTGATAATCAATTAAATGCTGTTTAAATTCTCATGCTGGGGAAATGGTATGATATGCAGACAGATACAGCGTCGGTGTTGCATGAAGCGATGGGTTATATCAGATTCCTGCACGATCAGGTTCAGGTTCTGTGCTCTCCCTACCTGCAACACCACCTACCTGTAAGTACCAACCACATCTTCGTCAGATACTCAGATGACTATTTTCCCAGAAACGAAAGTTCGCAAAACGGTGTTTTTTTTTTTTTTTTTTACTGCTTCCATTTCATGCATGATGGTCCGCATGCATCCACAGTAGCATCTTCATCAGGCCATGTCAAATTGTCTATTTCGAGTTCAAGTTTGTAGTGGAGGGTTAAGATTCCACGGATGATTTCACCTGAAAATGTAAAAGCGGGACCGTAATGGGTCCCATATTTGATGCATTGGTTGAAATTTGACGGTGGTGATAGTGACTTTATGGGTCAACAGTTAGTTTTTACTTTTCCTATTGTCTTTGACTGTGTTAATTTTGCTAAATAATAATATATAGGACGGTGGAGAAAACGGAGGAGATGAAGAATCAAGAACGGACCTGAAGAGCAGGGGACTGTGCCTGGTCCCAGTGGCATGCACCGTACACGTGGCAAACAGCAACGGGGCAGATTTCTGGTCACCTGCCATGGGAAACAATGTTTCAGCATCATCATTATTCACAAAGCAGCAGTGACTTGAAGTGAAGTGAAGTGAAGTGAAGTGAATGTTGATTATTCAACGTTTTAACTTACTACTACTGTACATGTTGTTTGTTTCTTGCCTTGAACAGATTTGACAACTCATGTTAAGAAAAGTTAAATGTAGTAAAAAAAAAAGTGACAGAAAAGGAAGCTGAGAAAGTTCACACTTGGTTCGAGAGTTAAAAAGAGATGATGGATTTGAAAGTGAAAGGAGATGTCGTTTTGGGGAAGATATATTGTGTATAAATGTGGGTTTTTGAGGTGTGGGATGGATGCCTTTTATGCTTTTAGCATTGAAAATCTTCAGGACTTGAGACAATTACCAATGCAATTTTTGAGAAGAGTGCTGGTTGTATTTTGCCTGTTAAATTTCTTTATTATTAGTTTCTGGTTTTGGTTTTGGTTTTGTTCAACAGCAATATAAGTTTAGAGAAAAGTAATGGCATTATATTTTGATTATGGAGTCAAAGTACGTTGGTTTATGTTAGAAACTCATCGTCAAACTTGTAAATTACTCTGTCCTCAACTTTCACTGTTCATCTGTTAAGTTTCTTAGGGGAAATCCCTTATCGTAAATTCATATCCATTATTCAAACATGTGCTTTTTGGTCGTCTCTTCACGAAGATTTTGTGGACTCTATTTAGCTGAGCCCGATGTGCTGGAGTATTGCGTTGCTAATGGACCTCTCCCCTCTTCAATTTGCAAATCCATTTAGCAATCAGGGTTAATTATATCTAAAGGCTCTTGTCTTCGAGTCACAGAAGAGGTACTTATCACATTTGTAATTATCTTAGTTTATTAGGTTTATAGGATATTACATAGCCTAAAGGTTCCGTGGTATAGAGGATTAAACAGACTTTAATGTAGGCTTGGATAACTGATATGCCTAAAAAAAAATTAGGCTAAAAATACAGTTTATTATAGATTTAATCAAATTAATAAGAGTAAACGACTTGTTTCCACCCAAATAATGACTTAATGATACTTTATCACCTATAGATTTTTAAAATACTATTTTACTACCCAAATTTATATTATGTTTTCGATTCCGACATTGTTGCAACCCCACACCACTACCATTCTATTTCCCCATCACCACTAACCAAAACCCAGCAAACCTAATTCTTGCCGACCCTGTCAATCGTTGATAATTGAGCGATTAAGGTTTACGTAACCGTCATTTCCAAGTCAAATTTCGATCAATCTCAACCATCAAAATCCAACATTTCACCATAAAAAAACTCATTGACCTCCCCTCTTCAAAAACTCCAACAACTTGGACAGAGTTTGCCTCCTATTCGCCACCAAAATATAAATTTGAATAGTAAGGTGATATTTTAAAAGTCTGTAGATGAAAAAATATCATTAAATCATTATTTGGATGGGAAAAAGTCATTAACTCAATTAACAAGTAAAAATGAATTATGTGATATGATAACAAAATAAGGATACTAGTATATTCTCTTTTTTTTTTTTTTTTTACTTTATGAAACAGTCAATAAATTCTATGGAAATTTGTGTTAATTTCTTAAGGAAACAATATAAGATAAAGTCTTATATTATTTTCTTAAAAATTATGTAATATGTATCACTTATCACACTTGTTACATGAATGTGGAACAGCAAAAGAAATTCAATGTAAGTTAAATAAAGAGAAAAAGGGAACAAAGTAATGCACGTACAGATGGCGCAAATCTAAACAGTGCAGTTTTTTTTTTTTTTCCCAATAAATACATTTTATTCAGGAAAAGCTTATAAAATAAGATATGATATACATTGTGGCATCTAGGGGTGAGCACAGGTAGTTGGTGGAATCGGAACTTAAGGATAGAACCAGAACTGAAACCGAAACCAGAATCGGAACCTACCCTGAACCGACATTGTATGAGTAGGTTCCGGTTCCTTTTTTTTAGAATCGACATTATGCAGTTTCAGTTTCAATTCCTACATGTGGAGGAATCGGAACTGGAATCGAAACCTGGAAAAAAAACTTGCAATGGGTACCCGCCTTGGAACTTGCTTGGAACCTGTAACTAGTACCCGGTTTAGAATCTATTTTGGAACCTGGGTTGAAATGAAATATCTATGAAAAATGGGGGTATATTGTAATTTTACATATAAAAATTTAAAATGGAAAAAGTTTAAATTTTTACAATAACCTAATTAAATAAATATACAATTATACTTATTACATATAAACTACACCATATAAAAAACTTTAATATATTATAATACATTAATATTAAAGTTTTGATTAATTAAGTGTATAATTGGAATTAGAACCAATTAAAAGTGTTTTAATGTTATTAAAGAAAATAATTTTTGAATAAAATAGTATATTTGATTGAATAATAATATAATATTTAGTTATTTATTTCAATTATCAAGTTCTAAGTAAATATGTAGTAAATTATTAATTAATTAATTATATATGATATATTGATAAACATTAATACATTATTAATTAAATGATTACTTAATCAATTATAACATTACATTATAGTCAAATAATTACTTAATTAATTATAAGTTTATAACATTACTACTAATTTAGTACATTACTTAATTAAATAATTAGAAATTTAATTAATTATAACATTACATTATAGATTTATAGTATAATTATTTAATTAATTATAACATTACATTATAGATTTATAGTATAATTATTTAATTAATTATAACATTATATTATAAACAAATAATTACTTATTAAAAGATTACTTAATTAATTGTAACATTCCCTTATAAATATTAGTACAATACTTAATTAAATGATTAGAAATTTAATTAATTATAATATTACATTAAAGATGTATAGTATGATTACTTAATTCATTATAAAATTAAATTATAATACGATCACATAATTAATTATCACATTACATAATTAAATAATTACTTAATTAATTATGACATTATATTATAAATATTAGTAATTTACTACATTAGTACAATACTTAATTAAATTATTAGAAATTTAATTAATTATAACATTACATTATAAACAAATAATTACTTAATTAAATAATTATTTAATTAATTATAACATTCCATTATAAACATTAATACAATATTTAATTAAATAATTAGAAATTTAATTAATTATAATATTACATTAAAGATTTATAATATTATTACTTAATTCATTATAACAATACATTATTACATGATCACATAATTAATTATAACATCACAAAATTAAATGATTACTTAATTAATTATGACATTATATTATAAACATTAGTAATTTATTACATAAGTACAATACTTAATTAAATGAATAGAAATTTAATTAATTATAACATTACATTATAAATTTATAGTATGATTACTTAATTAATTATAACATTACGTTATAAATAAATGATTACTTAATTAATTATAACATTCTATTATAATCATTAGTACAATATTTAATTAAATGATTAAAAATTTAATTAATTAAAATATTACATTATAGTTAAATAATTACTTAATTAATTATAACATTACATTATACATTTATAATATGATCACTTAATCAATTATAATATTCCATTATAAACATTAGTATAATACTTAATTGATTAGAAATTTAATTAATTATAATATTAAATTATATATTTATAGTGAGATTGTTTAATTAATTTAATTAATTGTTTGTGTTTTGGTTTTGATTGAGGAATTTTATGTGAATTGTGATGAATTGATTGAATTTAAATGTTGTCTAGAGATTAGAGGATTTATGAGTCATATTGGACACAAATGAATGAGTAATCAAAATTTGTTAGAGGTGTATTTATAAACTTTTAAGGTATTTTTGTCATTTTTTAAAACTAATAGGAGGTAACTGATTTTTTATAGGGTACCCGGGAAAGGAACCTACATTGTGCGATTCCAGTTTTCCGAAAAAATACAGGATATCTAGAACTGCTCACCCCTAGTGATATCTCTATTTATGGTAATATTTGTTTATAGGATATAGTTTCTAAATTTGTAAATGACATATATAGTTTAGGTTAGAGTTGGTTTTGTTTTTGTACATATATATATCTATAAAGTTTAGGTTAGAGTTTGGTTTTGTTTGTAAATTTTAATTTTTTTTTTTTTAATTTGTTGTGCATAATGACTAAATAGCCCTTATATATACCATCCTTAATTTTAAGGGTGTAAGTGTCATTTTACAAAACAAGTCGGTCTTCCTTAATTTTGGTAGACCTGAGGGGGGGTGAAGAAAGCCGCTTAAACCTCGCTCATAAATCACTTCCTCTTAGGCCGCCATCATTCATAGCAATGGCGGACAAGAAGAGAAAAACCCCTGAGACAACCAATCACAGAGCGAAGTCTCACAAGAACCAGAAGAAAAACTCCAAGAAGGTCGGCGGCGGCGAGATGAAAAGGAAAAGGAGTGGTCCACGGTTGCCTAATTCGATGCGAAAAGAACTGGACCGCCTAAATAGAACCAGTTCGATGAACAATAGTGATGACGAAGACATAGATTCTTATGAAGGCAATGATTTTTACGAGTACGAAGAACCTCTGCCTCAAGAAGAGTCGAAGAAGAACCGCCGTTACGATTCAGTCGATAATTATGAATACCAGCTGCCTGAAAACTTTAAGGTTTTATTTATTTATTTTTTTAGTAAAAATATCTGTATTCTACAGTTTATTAAGTTTTATATCTCCTTTAATTTGGATATGTGCAGGCATTCAAGTTTTAAACTTGTTCAGTAATCGGTTCAATTTGGATTTCAGTTCGTGTTTATAAGTTGATGAAATTGTTTAGAGTTTTCCATGTCAAATTGCTGTAATGTTACAGCTATGGTTTTTTTTAATTGGAAGGTTTTACTTGCATAAACAGGACATTTAAGTGTTCACCTTTTATATCATCAGTTGGGTAAATCGGCATTTGATAAGGTGTTATGTGTAAAAAATGCAAGCTTCTGAGGACTGTCAATAAATTGAAGTTGGAAACAGATTTGCCAGAATATGAAGCTAAGTTTAGTTAAGAATACTGGAGATGGTGGAAAAAATATTAAAATAACAATATATATGTATATGGAGGAAACCGGCATGAGTTTCCATAATGTACTGAATGTATGTTTAATGAAGTAATTGTAGTGATGATTCCAGCAATTCATACATCCTATAGGAAGTAATCTTACTTTCTTTTGTCTGAATGAGATATATTTGCACGCTATAGTCTATTATGTTGAGAGTAGTATTTATTGGCTAAGGCTTCTTTAGTTCATGTTTCTAATATGTGCTGTCTCTTTTCTTTGTGTAGGATGAGAATGTGCTATCGGATGATGATGATGATGATGAAAACGACTATAATGGCAGTGATGATGGGGCTAGTAGGATTGAAAATACCCGTGGTAGGACAGGAAGTTCAAAGCAACTTGGCGATGAGGTTGAAGATGAAGATGATGAAAGGCACTTGAGGATGTTGCAAGGGATCACTGGAATGCCAAGTGAGGTTTTTGAAGGTAAGACTGTGATGAAATGTCTCCATTTGGTCAAGTTCAGGACAGTATGAATTTTTCTTTTAAATTATACTCACTATTTTTCAGAACTTTCTCCTTCATATATTTCTAATAATCATTAGAAAAAGGAATTTAGCACCTGTGATGTGTGAGTAGTCATAATAAACATCTCAAAAATTAATACAGGTACAATGCAGATATTTTTAAAAGTCCATCTCCGAGGTTTACTTTTTAGTTACTATATAGAAGTCATATCAGAATAATGTATTTTAGCTTGAGTTTGTTCTGTTTCAAAGATGACATCATTAATTACTTACTGGAAAGTTTGTCGTTATAGTTATTCCAGAGTTAATTTGCCCTAACCAGGCATTTAGGAATTGATGTTGGGATGATTAGAAGACATTTATCCACTGCTTTTAGAAATATGAGTCATATGACTGACCTCTATTTATATTTGTTTTAGGCAAGAAGACGAAGAAGAAAAACATAGTTATATCTGAAGCATATACAGAGTCTGAATTTAATCCAAGTAGAGATGTTTTAGATGGCAATAGTCAAATTACCATTGAAGATCTGCTAGAACCTCTTCAAGGAAAAGCTGGATATAGTAAACTTAGAAAGAGAATGCATCAAATGGATAAAAAGTCTGTATCCATTCAGGCGCCACTACCAAAGGTAGAACGAGAAAAGTTGGAGAGAAAGGCAGTGTATGAACATTCAAAGAAAGATATTACCAAGTGGGAGCCTTTAGTGAAGATGAATAGGGAGGCCCCTACTATTATTTTTGAAGAAGATACAAACTTAGGGTTTTCAACTGTAGGAGCAATAGCTTCTGGATTTGAACCTAGAACTGAGTTTGAGAAGAAAATGGCATCATTAGTCAATGATGAAAAGGTTGTGGAAGCTCATAAAGAAGATGGTGCTAGGCTTCTTGAAATGAATAAGGTATGTTTTGGTCGTATGCATTGGTCATTTACCTCACTATTTATTACAACTTGATGAAAAACTATTGAGTTGCCTAGGAGTTCTTTTAACGAACTCACATTTTGGAATTGCTATGATAATGTTGCCAAGTTTCTGTGTCATTGAATAATCTAATGCCTACAACGAGGAAGCAATTTCAATTTTTTATTTTATTTTATTTTTTTTCAATTTTTTTTTTTATATGAAACTGAAAATCAGAATCTTATGATATAATGTGAAGAGAATAGTCATATCCCAGGTAAACCTTAATGTCAGTGAGGCTCATATATATATATATATTATTTGCTTTTACAGTTTACATGTGTGCATTCTAGAGTGAGTTTCTTGATGCTGTAAATACACTATGTTTTCTGATTGATAACAGCTTGATCTTACAACTTAGTGGGTTTAATTTTCTCCTTTTCTGTTAAATAAATTAATGGGTTTGTGCTGCATGCAAATCTGAAAAAGGTCTCTGGCTGTATCTATTTTGAAAGCTTAGTTTTGTAAATTTTACAGAAGTTTGAGTCGTGCAATTCTTAATGATGCTGACAGGTTTCTGTTGAAGACTATTTAGAGGACCGGAATCATATAGCTAAAATGCGAAGCCTTCTTTTTCGTCATGAGATGAAGAGCAAACGTATCAAGAAAATTAAGTCAAAAACATATCATCGTTTGTTGAAGAAAGATAGATTAAAAGGAGCATCTGCTGAATTTCTGATGGATCCAGAAGCAGCAAAAGAAGAGGCAAGGAAGCAAGAATTCAAACGAGCTGAGGTGATTGATAATCATTAATGAAGTTTTTATATGTTCTGTCCTGTGAATAGTGTTTCATTGTGGATGATAAAAACTGTATCTAATTTTAATTCTTTGCATATTTTATGTAATGCAGGAGCGTATGACTTTAAAGCACAAAAACAGTTCGAAGTGGGCTAAGCGCATATTAAAGCGTGGCCTGAATGCTCAAGATGAAGGCACTCGAGCTGCATTAGCCGAACAGCTCCACCAACATGCTCTTTTGACTAGAAAAATGAACTCTATGAAGGATAGTAGCAGTAGTAGTGGCAGTGGCAGTGATGAGGAAGATGTCGATAGAAACTCTGCTGATTCAGAAGAGGATGGGGCATCCAATTTGTTTGCTAAAGCAAAAGAGAAGACACTCAAAGTATTAGAAGAAGAAGATGAAGTGCCTAATTCTGGAGTGCTTTCATTACCTTTCATGGTAATCTGCCCTCCATTTTCCTTTTGGTTGTAAAATCATTCACCTGTTATTGTAGTAACCTTTGATTTAATTTTTTTCTTGCGTAATTTGATTTGTTATAGATGCGTGGGATGAAAAAAAGGAAGGAAGAAGCTATTGAAGAAGCCAAGCTTGCTCTTCAAGAATATGAATCATCATTGAAGGAGTTGGAGGGTACAGTTGAGGAAGAAAATTCAAAAGTAGGTGTTACAAGTGGTAGAAGGATCTTTGGTGCTGCTCAAAAGGAGGTTCCAGAACCAAACCATAAGATCAAAACAGATAACTATTATGGTAATAGTGATAGCGAAGATGACCTGGAGCCTGAAGAAAATTTAGTTGTTGGTAATAGGAAAAAGAATGATTTGCAGAAGGATGTTAGCATTGATTCTGCCTTACTTAACGAAGGTCTTGAGAGTCATCAGGATTCCGTGTTTAAGGTAATGAGATTTCTTATTTGCTACTACTTTTCTGTCTCTCTGTTGCTCATTAGCATGACAATAGTGTACTTGTGCGGTTTACAGAGCTTTGATGAAGTTGTTAGAGACCCAGGTCCAAAGACATCCCATGATGTTTCTATTTTTGCATCGGGCACATGGAAAAAGGTCTTGTTCGCCTTCATTATGTTTTTTCAGTTTCTTGCGTATTGGAGAATCAGGCATTCTCATGCTGATAACTGTTTACTTAATGTGCAGATGAAAAGTGGAAACACGATGGACACTGATGCCAAGAAGCCTAAAAAGGTTGTTGAACCTGTATTGGATGATCAAAGTTTGGAGGTATTTATCCCTTCCAATTGTTTTTTTTTTGCAGCTTTTGCTCTAATGTTTATGTTATTAGCAACCTCTCACTTTCTTTGGCTCTGTGTTTTGGTTTTGGGAACTGTGAAGGTGGTGAATGAGGAAAGTGATACTGATAGTGATGATGGCAAAGGAGAGATGGTGGATGGGATTATGTCTTCTGAACCTAAAGCATCATATAAACTTCCTTCTCAAGAAGAACTTATTCGTCTTGCTTTTGCGGGTGATGATGTAGAGGAAGATTTTGAGAAGGATAAAGAAAAGATCCTGACCGAAGAGAATCCTGTACCTGAAAAGCCTCATCTACTTCCTGGTTGGGGACAATGGACAAATTTGCAGCAAAAGAAAGGCTTACCTTCCTGGATGGTGGAAGAGCATGAAAATGCAAAGAAGAGGAGGGAAGAAGCTCTTAAAAAGAGGAAGGATGCACGCCTCAAACATGTCATTATCTCTGAGAAGTTGGATAAAAAGGTTGGTGGTCTTTATTGTATATATTATTATGCACACCAAGAGGAGCTATATCCTTGTTTTTGGATTTAGATTTGTTGTCGCAATTATAGAAGTAAACTCAGTTTTGCAGAAGCTTGGTTGACAATTGACTTCAACTGGAAAACTCAAAAGAACCTTTCAAAATTAAATTGAAATGTTGCTGAATTGTCAATCTAGATCCAACATAAATTGGTTAAATAGTTATTTAACATATTCTTTTCGTAGCCACATGTTCATTTCCTAGTTTTGAATATTAAAGCACGTCCAGCTTTATTATGCCTTGATGTGCTTGTATAACAGAACTTTTTGTTCTTGGATTTGGCAGGCGGAGAAATTACATACAAAAACCTTGCCTTACCCTTTCACATCAAAGGAAGTTTTTGAGCGAAGCATTCGTGTTCCTGTTGGACCTGAGTTCAATCCAGCGACAGCCGTTGGAGCTCTTAACCAGCCAGAAGTGAGTGATTAATTGCAATCAATAAGATACTATTATTTTTATTCTTTATTTTTAAGAAAAGGGGTTTATATTACAACAAATATCATAGAGATAAGAACCGTTGTGAAATTTTATGCTCTTGTGGATTTTTCCTCTTCCATCATTCCTTTTCTGATCCGTCCAGTGTGCATTTTCTTAGCAGCCCCATTTTGTCAAGGGGATATATAATTTTTAAACGGATCATATCTTAGCAATTAGCTTGTTTTCCTCGTCCAATATTTTTCATTTCTCTCCTTGAATAAAATGTTGCAGGTGAAGAAGAAATCTGGTATCATTATAAAACCAATCAAGTTCGAGGAAGTGAATCCTCACGAAAAAACAGAGGAGCACAAGTCGCGTGGACAGAAACAAAAGATGAACAAGAATAAAAGTGATGGTAGCAAAAGACCAAAATCAAGGCCAGTGGTGGTAAAAATCATGAATAGGTGAAGGTAAATTGACCCAGATTCTAATGAATACTGTCATGTATGATTCAATTTTGTTTTCTGTTATTTGAAAGATGGGTTTCTAATAGAATATATGCATTGATTGTAGAAATTAAAGTGCCTCTGCACTGGCGTTTTTTCAATCATTATGTAATTTTCAGGTGGCTGGAAATCGATAATTGAGGTTGTAATTCCAATTTACGGTAGCTGATATATAAATTTTTTGAGATAGTGGCATAAATATATTCCTTTTTCAATGAAATTTATATTTCCATTTATTATACGAATTATATATTCATCTATCACATGTTGGAATGTAAAATAGGTGCAATTAATTCAGCCTGGGTGTCTAAAATATTTATAATGAAATCAAACATATTTAGATTAAAAAACTGCTTATCAAACCCAAGGTTTTAAAACTTGGCATGGGGAGAAACAAGGCAAACTGGACAAGTCTCAGGTTGACCGGTTGAACCGGTTTGACCCGTCGGTCAAACCGGTGACATTAATAGGTAAAAGGGTTTGAAATCCAACAAAAACACTCCTAAAAATTATATAAGTCCTTACATATTTGAAATTTTGCAATAAAACCTTAAATTACACCAATGGCATTGACAATCTAGGCCAAATAGTGTATGTTTTCAATGTCAACAACTTCATCATCACGAAAACTCTTTTCTTAGCCTCCAGACCAAAACTATCTCACTTAACCCTATCCATCTTGCCACTTGTCGACAACAGCCTATTGTTGTTGTTGTTGTTGATTTATTTTTGCGATTTTCAGTTGTTTCACTTATCTGAAATCACTTTCGTCGCCACTTTTCCGCTCATCAGTCATTCTTATTTAAAGCCTTTAACATTTCAGCCTTCAATTGTTCGTTGATTGTCATCCTAATTTTTAGGGTTTTTGATGAATAGTAAAATTGGTAACCTAGTCCGGTGAAACCCACAGGTCTCGGTTCAATTAGTCGGGTTGGGTCGGACTGGGATTTAAAAAATTGATCAAACCAAGAAGATTAGCTTGAAACTCTGCCACACACGATTGAGAACAAAATTAGAAATTGATAATTTAGGAGTTCAAGTAAATTTAAATTGATTTTTTTTTCTCACAACAGGTTGTCATCTCATTACATTACACACAAATGAAACTTGTATTATTTTTCCTTTCAGTTTTTTAAAAAGGGTCTATTAATTGATAATAATCCTTCTTTGTCTCGTTAAACCTGTTTCTAATTCTAAATATCCTCATTATAAATTCCAAAGACATTTAAATATCTAATTAACTCTAATTTATTTTCAAAACAATTCTTATATTTTTGTATTTCTAAATTTTTTTTTTTTTCTTGGTTTAAATCTTATGCTAACTTCGTGCCAGTCAAATTACGTGCATCGTCACACAAATACTGAAAGGATAGGTTATAACACTTATAAGGTCCTTACAATAATTTTTAGTTTTTCAGGTTCTAATAGTTATTTTTTATTTTATGTCACCTTTTGTTCTTTTGCAGCTTTTGCTCTAATGTTTATGTTATTAGCAGCCTCTCACTTTCTTTGGCTCTGTGTTTTGGTTTTGGGAACTGTGAAGGTGGTGAATGAGGAAAGTGATACTGATAGTGATGATGGTGAAGGAGAGATGGTGGATGGGATTATGTCTTCTGAACCTAAAGCATCATATAAACTTCCTTCTCAAGAAGAACTTATTCGTCTTGCTTTTGCGGGTGATGATGTAGAGGAAGATTTTGAGAAGGATAAAGAAAAGATCCTGACCGAAGAGAATCCTGTACCTGAAAAGCCTCATCTACTTCCTGGTTGGGGACAATGGACAAATTTGCAGCAAAAGAAAGGCTTACCTTCCTGGATGGTGGAAGAGCATGAAAATGCAAAGAAGAGGAGGGAAGAAGCTCTTAAAAAGAGGAAGGATGCACGCCTCAAACATGTCATTATCTCTGAGAAGTTGGATAAAAAGGTTGGTGGTCTTTATTGTATATATTATTATGCACACCAAGAGGAGCTATATCCTTGTTTTTGGATTTAGATTTGTTGTCGCAATTATAGAAGTAAACTCAGTTTAGCAGAAGCTTGGTTGACAATTGACTTCAACTGGAAAACTCAAAAGAACCTTTCAAAATTAAATTGAAATGTTGCTGAATTGTCAATCTAGATCCAACATAAATTGGTTAAATAGTTATTTAACATATTCTTTTCGTAGCCACATGTTCATTTCCTAGTTTTGAATATTAAAGCACGTCCAGCTTTATTATGCCTTGATGTGCTTGTATAACAGAACTTTTTGTTCTTGGATTTGGCAGGCGGAGAAATTACATACAAAAACCTTGCCTTACCCTTTCACATCAAAGGAAGTTTTTGAGCGAAGCATTCGTGTTCCTGTTGGACCTGAGTTCAATCCAGCGACAGCCGTTGGAGCTCTTAACCAGCCAGAAGTGAGTGATTAATTGCAATCAATAAGATACTATTATTTTTATTCTTTATTTTTAAGAAAAGGGGTTTATATTACAACAAATATCATAGAGATAAGAACCGTTGTGAAATTTTATGCTCTTGTGGATTTTTCCTCTTCCATCATTCCTTTTCTGATCCGTCCAGTGTGCATTTTCTTAGCAGCCCCATTTTGTCAAGGGGATATATAATTTTTAAACGGATCATATCTTAGCAATTAGCTTGTTTTCCTCGTCCAATATTTTTCATTTCTCTCCTTGAATAAAATGTTGCAGGTGAAGAAGAAATCTGGTATCATTATAAAACCAATCAAGTTCGAGGAAGTGAATCCTCACGAAAAAACAGAGGAGCACAAGTCGCGTGGACAGAAACAAAAGATGAACAAGAATAAAAGTGATGGTAGCAAAAGACCAAAATCAAGGCCAGTGGTGGTAAAAATCATGAATAGGTGAAGGTAAATTGACCCAGATTCTAATGAATACTGTCATGTATGATTCAATTTTGTTTTCTGTTATTTGAAAGATGGGTTTCTAATAGAATATATGCATTGATTGTAGAAATTAAAGTGCCTCTGCACTGGCGTTTTTTCAATCATTATGTAATTTTCAGGTGGCTGGAAATCGATAATTGAGGTTGTAATTCCAATTTACGGTAGCTGATATATAAATTTTTTGAGATAGTGGCATAAATATATTCCTTTTTCAATGAAATTTATATTTCCATTTATTATACGAATTATATATTCATCTATCACATGTTGGAATGTAAAATAGGTGCAATTAATTCAGCCTGGGTGTCTAAAATATTTATAATGAAATCAAACATATTTAGATTAAAAAACTGCTTATCAAACCCAAGGTTTTAAAACTTGGCATGGGGAGAAACAAGGCAAACTGGACAAGTCTCAGGTTGACCGGTTGAACCGGTTTGACCCGTCGGTCAAACCGGTGACATTAATAGGTAAAAGGGTTTGAAATCCAACAAAAACACTCCTAAAAATTATATAAGTCCTTACATATTTGAAATTTTGCAATAAAACCTTAAATTACACCAATGGCATTGACAATCTAGGCCAAATAGTGTATGTTTTCAATGTCAACAACTTCATCATCACGAAAACTCTTTTCTTAGCCTCCAGACCAAAACTATCTCACTTAACCCTATCCATCTTGCCACTTGTCGACAACAGCCTATTGTTGTTGTTGTTGTTGATTTATTTTTGCGATTTTCAGTTGTTTCACTTATCTGAAATCACTTTCGTCGCCACTTTTCCGCTCATCAGTCATTCTTATTTAAAGCCTTTAACATTTCAGCCTTCAATTGTTCGTTGATTGTCATCCTAATTTTTAGGGTTTTTGATGAATAGTAAAATTGGTAACCTAGTCCGGTGAAACCCACAGGTCTCGGTTCAATTAGTCGGGTTGGGTCGGACTGGGATTTAAAAAATTGATCAAACCAACAAGATTAGCTTGAAACTCTGCCACACACGATTGAGAACAAAATTAGAAATTGATAATTTAGGAGTTCAAGTAAATTTAAATTGATTTTTTTTTCTCACAACAGGTTGTCATCTCATTACATTACACACAAATGAAACTTGTATTATTTTTCCTTTCAGTTTTTTAAAAAGGGTCTATTAATTGATAATAATCCTTCTTTGTCTCGTTAAACCTGTTTCTAATTCTAAATATCCTCATTATAAATTCCAAAGACATTTAAATATCTAATTAATTCTAATTTATTTTCAAAACAATTCTTATATTTTTGTATTTCTAATTTTTTTTTTTTTGGTTTAAATCTTATGCTAACTTCGTGCCAGTCAAATTACGTGCATCTACACACAAATACTGAAAGGATAGGTTATAACACTTATAAGGTCCTTACAATAATTTTAAGTTTTTCAGGTTCTAATAGTTATTTTTTATTTTATGTCACCTTTTGTTAAATTTTACACTAAGTTCCTCTTTAATGTATCTTTTAAAATAATTTTTTAACTTTGGTCCCCTAATTTTTAAATATTATTTTTGATCCTCAATTAAATTTTCTGGTTCAGTCATTTACCCAGTATTTTAAGAGAAGTTTGTGAAAATTAAATCTGATAGAAAATATTTAGTTAAAATATTATTTTTCTTTTACAAGGACATGCAACTTTATTCAACTTCTTCGAGGGTGTGTTAGGTATGCGATAATCCCCTATTACTGAAGTAATGTTATTTTATATTACTAGATTTTGATTGTCAAATAATATAAGATTTCAGTAATTTTTTAAAACCAATGATAATTATTGTTGGTAATATAAGAGGTAATCTGATTATCTCTATTTTCTTAAGTATTTGAAGATTACTTGCTAATCTTAAATTAGTTACAATTTTAGTCCTTATTAATAAAATTTTAAGATAAAAATGCCCTTGTTTTAAAAACAATTTACAAAAATACTAATGAACTATTTTATCCTTATATACAAAATTTTGAAGATATAAATACTTTTGAAACTTAAAAAAATTATCCAATGGTGGTTGTGGGATCTAGCTACCACCGTTGGCCATTGGTGTCAAAAAGGCGTATGACCGATCAAATTTAACTGATTGTGTGTTGATCTGACTGTTTTCGATTAGATCTTTGACCAGAAACAGCTAGGACTCTCCGGCACCACTATTTTCATGAATGATCCATATCTTACACCCGTCAAAAGGACTTTTCGTCAACTGTATAATAAAATGCACCAAACTCAGAGATTCATTCATGGCAGCTACTTTCAACTGCTCGTCTTTTAACGTGTCATCAAT